TTTTATTATATTGACCTTTCAGCCGTGCCTGACTAACAATACAGAAGTTACAACGACGTGGCTCACATGCACTCATGTTACCATATCAAATAACATAAAACTGACCTTTGGTCTGTACAAAGTAGCTTGTCTTGGCTGTGTTTTAGTTGACTAGTACTTTGTAAAATACAGTCACATTTCATTTATTATACATTTTATATATATATAGATCATTGCTATTTTAAAACAAGTTCTTAAACATATTATCCCTACAACATAGAACAGTATATAAAGTAAAGCAAACAATTATCTCTTCCAGTTACAACCTTTGTACTTGGTTGCTGCCTGACATTGGTTGATAAGCTTTTAAAAATTTTACACATGAAGGATATGAAACAAAATATTTTTTATTTAAGGTTTATATATATTTGAATAACTAAAAAAATAAATTACTACATTAATATCATAGAATTCAACTATAATTTATCAAGCTTAGTAACAAAGATGTATTTTACTCTTAAAAAAAATATGAAATTTTGAGCAGACTAAAGACAACCTACCTCACTGAAATCTTGGTTCAAAAGAAATATATGGTGCTAGCCATGTTAGAAAGGCAAAGAAAACCACTAGGGGGACATTCTGAACTTCTGATTGGTTATTCATGTCGTATATAGAAGTAAGTGTATATAAGGGAGCGTTCCAAAAATGAAAGAGGTTGGCGGGGTGCCACTGAGTTTGATTTATTACATGAGCAATATCATAGCAAATAGAAAAGATAAGACCTTCTTATTTTATATTCTTGTTTGTCAATATCTGTAATTTGAGTTTCTAATTTGTATGAAACTATAGACTTAGTATTTTGATTTCACAAACATCTAATTTAAACCAGTGCTGCATTCAACATACCATGTGACACACAAAAATCGATGTTTATCTGTATTTGTTTTTTTATTTACTTTTAAATTAAGAAATTGAGTTATGTATAGTTTTGAAATTTGAATTATAATCTACTGTTTGATACCAAACTTTTAGACATAAATTCATGAAATAGTAGTTCAATAAAATTTTGAATGCGAGTCAACATACGAGATGACATGGCCTTTCACCTATGACCTGTCTCGAAAAGGTTAAACAGATGTTCCATACAGGACATTAATCAATACAATGATGTACAATGTCCAGAATATAATAGGTAACAACAGAACAATATGTAACATTAGCATTTCAATATCACTTTTTTTTTTTTAAACAGACAACTAGTGCTTTGTACAATTTGAGAACATCATCTGAATTTTCATACAAGTTTAAAAGAATGATTCTGGATCCTATTACTAGCACAGAACACTACCTGATAGCATGAGAGAATTGCTGAAGCTATTAGAATCACCAACACAGTGGTCCAGTCCGTTTTCTACATTCTTTGCTTCTTCCAAGACATCTTCCATAACAGCTTTCCAGGTCTTGCTTTCTGTTAAATAGAAAATATTTCATATCAATAGTATATACAGTTTGTTACAAACAACATGTTCATGCATGCATACCACTTTTGGATCCATATGAGATACAAAGTATAAAAAGCAATTAATTATCTTTTATAGAACTAGATAAACCTAAGCTCTGAAAACTTCTGAAAGTGTATTTAAGTACATCACAAACATGCTCTTTGCATTTGACATATCTACATTCTTCTTGAAAACCAACATAAATTAGTAAATAGAAACTGAGCTAAATACTTTTATGACAACCTCAACAGTTTCATGTGTTCTATAATAACTGTTAGAAATACAATCATTAATATTTTCCTTACCCAAAAATGTATCTCAGGGTGATACCTCTCCACAAAAACTGAGGACTATTACCTTACACCACTCTGGCAATAAGATGTTTGTGCATGCACCAACATATGAAAAACCTCCAATCCTACACGCATTAATGCATACTATGCCAATCTATGATGCAATCAGCATTAGACTGTAGCCCTCCACTGAAGGCGACACATCCTCCATGTACAGAAGTTCCCTAGAGCACAATAAACATATCAGAAGCATGGGTGGTTCTCCAGAAATATATATATTCAGGAAAACTACTCCCCTTTACACAGAATTGAGTGCTAAAATCCCACACTGATAAGATGGAGGAGGGACCACATTAAATTAAAAATATGATATCCTTTACGATAATATGTAGCATCATAAAGAGAAAACTTGTGGAGTGTTACACACTTGGGGAGCTAGAGGGCCATCTCTCAGTGGGATGGAAGCATGAACTTAATTCATGCAGGGAATACTCTTTACCCAATAAAGGTGGTAGAGCAAAAGGTACCATATGTGAGCAGAATATAAAGATTACTCAACCTGCCTGGATACCTGAAGAGATTGGTAGGGGGGCCTTACACTAACCATACTTCCAACTAAGTGGTGCATCCACTCTGTTTCAACTCAAAACAAATGGGGGTTACAACTCGAAGAGAATTCTCTAGATCAACTTTTTCAGCAATTTGGGACCAAAGAAGCAAGGTTCTCCTGTACTCCACTAGAAGAAAATGATGGAGAAGGGGAGAGAAAAATTAACATAGTGAAGAACACTAGAGAGGTGCATTCTCATAGAAAACCCAATTTCAACAGTTGGTAATGAGCAGGGGTAGTGGGGTTTGACACTGTTATCCCCCCCCCCTCAGTATTTGTTGGGGGTCATCCATATCCCTGCTTGCAAGATCTCATCCAGAGGACACCATGGTTAAATGCAAGAGAAGCCATGAGATAACAAACTTGATGGAATGTCACATGAAAAAGTCAAAAGGCATAATTTCCCATAGAAGAATAAATAAGATGGATGAGTCAGCCCGACCAGTCAGAGTGGAAGGGATAAGTCACAAGAAGAGGAATACCACAGGAAGAAAATACAATTTCAATTGCCTTGTAATGAAGCAGTACTGCCCTAAGAGGACAAAGATGACTGTAGAGAGAAGAATTGGAGAAAACATATGATCACCTTCCCAGCCACCTCAAATTTTGGGAAAGAACAATCTGGGAAGAAGATTAGCCTGTCCCTATGGTAAAGTGTGGGAGGTGTCAAATACAAGAAGGACCAAGTGACATCTCTCACAAACAGAAAGAAAATACATCATTAAAAAAAGATGGTACAAGGACCATGTGGCTAAAGATCTGAACATGATAGTGAAACAGATGGGCCAGTCCAAAAGAGGAGGACAACTGATGAGAAGAGCTCCGAAGAAGTGTAAGATAAGAGATGGATAAAGAAAAGAAGAATGGCTAAGGACAAACATATAAAAGAAGATTGGATCAATCCTGACTCAAAGTATTCACAGCCACAGAGTTCTGAACTAGTGACCAGAAATGTGGAAATTTGGTGGTGAGGGAGATGCAAAGGCAATGAAAATACTCCTAGAGTGGAAACAAATCCACTGAAACAACAGAGAATATAGAGACCACTTTGTAGAAAGGATTCAGTCTAAGTGAAAAGGTAATTCACCAAAGATCAAAGTTCCTGAAATATGACAAGCCAACAACTGCATGTGGTGATTGTGGGCCCAAAAAAGCAAATCTAGAGTCATAGAGCAGAGATTCCAAGAGCAAGTGCCTCCCTTTCAATTGATATAAGAAATGACAGTGGAATTCTTTGAATGGATTACTAGACATATGAAACACAAGATGATGGCAAGCAATATCTCCAGAACATTGATATATACAGACTACTCCTCTAGAGACAAGATCCTGGAAAGTATGCACTCTATCTGGACAGATGTATTTGTGAACAGATGTAAGTCTGGATGAGGTGGAAAAAAACCAATGCCCAGGGTAACTGAGACTGACTGATTCATCATGACAGTGAGAGGTGAAAAGGAGGAGGAAGAGACACAAGAGAAGACAGTGGATCTCTGGACATACTTCAGTGGTCAGCTAGAGTCCACTGAAGAGGATGCTTATGAGCAGGTCTGAGAAGAAATATGAGGGATTTGGTAACCAGAAGTTCAATGTCTCAAAGAGGTAAAGGAGAAGGCTGAGTTGAAAGTGACTCCCAACTGTATCAGATACTGGGCAAATGTCAAAATACATTTTGAGAGCTTGACCAGCCAACTCAAGTGAGAAAACTAAAAAAAAAAAGAATTAAGGTCACACCTGAGGAGGCTTATTTGGACAGGGTGAGGAGCCAGTTGTTCATATAGTAGTGGAATTGTAAGACCAACAAATGCATACTCCATGTAAATGTCCTCAGGACCCAAAACATACAAGGTCATAGTCAACGGCTGAAAGGGCGAGCATGTTTGGTGGGATGGGGATGCGAACCTGCAGATTGCGAGTTGAGTGCCTTAACCACCTGGCCATGCCGGGCCACAATTTGAGCTACTGGCAGAGATTAATGGATGAACAGAGGAGCAGAAAGCTGTATATCTGGCAACGAGCTTGAAGGGACAACCACTGGAAATACTTGGACAGTTGACAGCAGCCGACAGACACAACTATAGAGCACTGATAGAGGCTCTGGAACTCAGGTACGGAACCCAGAATCAGTCAGAAGTCTACAGGGCTAGGTTTAGGATGAGAATCCGTGCTAACGGGGAGAGCCTGCAAGAGCTGGCACAAGACTTGGAAAGCATGGCACACAAGGCCTACCCAACTGCACCACCCAATCTCCTCAAGTTGTTGCTGAGGGATCAGTTCGTAGACGCTTTGGACAGTCCCCAGCTTAAGATACAAGTGAAGCAAGCACACCCTTTACCATGCAGGATGCAATGGCTAGAGCTCTCGAATTTGAATCATACGTTAAGTCCAGCACAGAGGTACCAAGGTTGGTACAGTCATCTGGATTCAAGGCCAGAAAAGGTTAGCTTTGAGAGAAGTTTGAGGGACTTTGCTGGCACTGTAACAAACCTGGGCACAAGAGATCTCAATGCTGGAAACTTCAACACAGGGGAGACGATACAGCAGGAAAGGCTGGTATCCAGAAAAGTTGTTGGA